AGAGACAGTTCGTGCACCTGGATTTTGGTCCTTGCCCTGGTGAGCTGAACGCATAAGCACGGTTAGGAGGAGGTCCTGCCTTGGGCAGTGTTTGCTGAGGCGAATTCCTCTCCCTCCCTTGCACATGCAGGGCCCAGGTCTGGGTTTTTCCAATCTGCTTCGCATGAGTGAATCATCCTGCAATAAGTCAACACACCCAGGGCACTCTGCCTGTCCTTCCTGCCCATGGTCAGCTGAATCCCAATCCCAAGAGCTGAGGATGTAATTTTGCATCTCCCTTGTTTTTGTAGCTGTTTGGAGAAGTACATAATAAAATCTAACTCAAGACCTGTCTTGAGGACTCCGGCTCCCTGCAACCCGGCCCAGCATCCTCCATTCACGTTGTTCCTTGTCACGCAGGTCTCACGCTCCATGTCTTTGCCTCCACACTCTCACCAGAGCAAACATTTCGCTGACACTGGGGAAAGCAGAGCTGCCTTTCTGTCATCTCCCTCTCCTGTTGACCACAGCTGTGTGCCTTGGCTTTGCTGCTCTCCAGAAGGGATAAGCCTTGCCCTGCCTGTGCTTGGGGGCCTTGGGTGACACTGGGCATGGCTTCAGAGCAGCCCAGTTTGGGGACACGAGGTTTTGTCTCTGTGTGGTGCTGAGCCAGATGCATAGCTCTTGGGGATGTGTTATCCTGGAGCCCAGGATGTCCTGGCTTGAAGCTGCTCCTGAGCATAAGAAAATGAAGTGGTTTAGGGATGCCTTGTGCGTGCCCAGCTGGGGCTTGCCCTGGGAACCCTTTGCCCGTGGTGCCTAGGGCTGTGTAATGGCTGCAGCAACTTTTCTGATCTCATGTTTCCAGGCTGCGAGCTGACTGCCAGCACCAAATCCTACACATTCCAGGTGGACAAAGAAGATGATTCTGACCATATTTTGGCCCTGTCTGTGGTAAGAGAAATGAAAGCTACCTGTGCTTGTCATCTCCCATAGCAGCCTGCAGCACCACACCCCCTTCCCAGGCTCATGCCCCCTTCCCTGGCTGGGCTGGGCCAGGGGACCCCTTGTCTGAGATCTCAGCACTGGCTGCTCTCAGAGCAGGGCACGGAGCTGTCACATTTCTCTGTTGTATGGAGGTGTTTAAGCAAAGCCAGTAGTGGCAGGAGGCTGCTCAGCAGCAGATTCTCTAGACATGGGGTGAATGAAAACATTTTTCCTTTGTATTTGACCTTGCTGGAGTCTCCCACTAGAACATGCCTTCCTCACCAGCTGCGTCTCTGGCTTGTGGCTCTCCAAGCCCAGCTAGATGCAGGGCTTCATTCCTGGCTCTCCCTGGGGGTCACTTCCTGTCCTGGAAGCACAGGACCTGTCGGCTTGGATCAGATTAGCAGAAAATGCAGACCAGGTGCCATGTCTTGAGGCAGCTCATGAACAGCCCTCCCAACTGATGCAAAGGCACAAAGCTCCTCTGCAGGCACTAAAGGGGCAATTGTTGCAAGGGGGGGTTCCATACTCTCCCTGGTTTGTGGAGCAGCATCCTCACACATTGCATGGCAGCCAGGCTGGTAGCATTGCTGTGGGTCGCTTGTCCTGTGGAGAGTCCTGGCTGTCCCTGCTGTGTCCCCTGGGAAAGCAGGAGTTCACAATCTCTGCTCCCCCCAGGTCTGCCTCACAGACGGTGCCAAGGATGAGTGCAATGTGGTGGAGGTCATTGGGCGAAACCATGAGAACCAGGAGATTGCTGTGCCTGTGGCAAATCTGAAGTTGTCATGCCAGCCCTTGGTAAGAGGTTGTTTTGAAGTCTTGGGTGGGGATGGCTGCAGGGAACCGGACATCTCTGAATGTTTGTGGACCTTTCTCCTAGGATCCTGACCATGGCCTGCAGCTTGCAGGGAAATGCCCTGGGTAGCCTTGGCCTGGCTGCAGATGCCTCCAAAAGGACATGTTTAACTAGGCTGGGTGCCATGCCCAGGTGCTGCAGGACATTCTGCTTTTTGCCTCTGACGCTAACTTGAGACTCCATCTCTGTCTTTTTGCAGTTGAGTCTGGACAACTTTAAGCTGCAGCCTCCGGTGACCTTCCGCCTGGCAGCGGGCTCTGGCCCAGTACACCTTACTGGCTGGCACCAGATCAGTAAGGACTTGTGTGTGGGGAAAGGCTTGGGAGGAGCGAGGGGTATGGAGGGGCTCCCTCCAGTGTGAATGCCAGCTGGGGAGCCCCTGGGAGATGCACTTTGTGCTGGATCCCCAGGGGCCATCTCTGTGCAGGGATTCCTCCCCTGCCATAAAGCCATGCATGGGAAAAGTGGTCTGGATGACCCACACTGTCCCCTTTTCCCATGACTGGCTGTTGCCATTCCCATCCCAAGACCTCCCTCTGGCTGGGATACAGTTTATTGCCCACAAGCTGCTGCTAAAACTGCCCCAGTGCTCCTTGGGCTGTTCTGCTCTTTGGGATGTCTTGGGGGCCAGTTGTATTTGCAAAGTCTGTATGTTAGTGAGTAACAGAGTTAATTGTGTGTCCCAGTGCACAGGGAAGATGCTTCCTTTGAGGAGGATGATGACTTGTCTGAGGAGGAGGAGCTTCCTCCTATCATGCCAGCCAAGAAGTAGAGGAGGAAGCAGTAACTTATCTCCATGAAAGGTGAGGGGCCAGTCAGCCTTGGAGGAAGGGTCTGGGTGGCTGTGATGCTGGTGTGGCAGGTGTGGGTAGGAGCTGTCTGCTGAAGAAGGCTGCTGGTCTCAGTCTGGTTTTTCCTCCAGGTACTCACCGGGACTTCTCTACCTGGACAGCTTTTACCTCGGACACCTCTTGCCAGGACCTCAACGTTTGCTGCTTTGGGTTTTTTTTGTTGGGTCTGGGGTTTTTTTGGTAACTTTTTGGGGAGCAGGGACTGGTCCCAGCGCTGGGGTGTCTCCTTTCCCACAGCCCTGGGAGGTTGATCCCAAAACTGGATGGATACTGCTGGTATATCCCCTCTCCTCTATCCCTGTGCTGGGAGTTGGGGATGGAGGAGGTGATCCTTGCCCTGTGCCTTTTTGCTGTCCTGAACCTCAGCTCTGTGCACCTGCTCTCCCTGGTTCTGAAATACCCAGTCTTGTCCCCTTCCCCAGCAAGTGGGACATAAAGCCTGCAGTGGGACAGGGAGTTTCACTGATTCTAGCATGTTTGCTTTCCTTTACTCACATTTCTGTGTTTTTTATGCACTTAGAAGTGTGAAACTGGGGCCTAGGCTGCATGCTCAACTGCAGTTATGGTAGGGTGGGAGCTCACAGCCTATCTCTGATTTGGGGGTAGGTTCTGGGTCAATCTGCTCTGTAAAGAACAGTTTTACACTCTGAATAAAGGTCTCTCAGGCATCAGGTTTGGAGGGGGGTCACTGCAGGCTGGCAGGTTCTTCCCATGCATACTCAGTGGGAGATGCTTGTCCATGTCCAGTCATTGACATTTGGTTTCCCTTGGTGATGCTGCAGAGCTCCCAGCAGGGACCCAGGAGGTCCTCTCTCTCCCTTGTGGGGTCTGCACACTTGTGCCCTGCAAGCCAGCTCAGTGCTGCATCCAGGATACTCATCGAATGGGCAGAGATGCCCCTGATTTGGGCCACATTGGCCCTGGTGCTGGGCGCTATCACAGCAAGGTCCTCTCATGTCTTCCTCTCAGCCCAGCACCATTCTGTGGAGCGGTGAAACCCCAATGCCTGAAGGGTCTAGGGCAGGTTTGAGCTCTGACCTTCCTGGACAGTCGGTGTCCCCACCAGGTCTGGGTACCTGCTCCAGGGTTTGACCCTTTCTGCACTTCACAGAATCATCTAGGTTGGAAAAGACCTTTAAGATCATCTAGTCCAATCATTCAGTCATTGGCACTTCTCACCTCTGGGGGCTGGTCCTTAAAGGTTTCTCTGGCAGTTTCCTTGCATCCAATCTTGCATCCCTGGCCCATGGGTCGATGTGTGTCACTGTCCTCTTTGTTTGGGATGCTGGCAGTTAAGCACCATATACTGCTTGCCCCGTTGGTGCCCTGGGACAGCGAGTTTCTTGCTTGCACGGACTCTGGTACGAAATCCTTCAGGGTGGATCCTCAGCTCAGGCTCCATCCTAGGTTGTGACTGGGGCTGTTTCTCTCCTCTGGGGCCCGTGCATTCCTCCTCACCTCCCCACTGTTCCCTTCTGGCCCCAAACAGCCCTTGACCTGCTCCCCTCGCCCAGCATGGATGGAGGTTTTAATGCCACTTGCAGGAAAGGGGAAAGGACTGTTGGCATCTCACCCCCATGGCGTGGGACCGTGTCCGCCGGGGGGGCACCAGAAGACAGAGAAGAGCCGGCCTGGGGGAGATGAACCCCCTGGCTTGTGCATGGCACCCCGCAGCAGCGCGGGGGGAGGATGCCGGGGGAGCTGGGCGAGTCCGCGGGGTAACCCCGGTACCTGCCGGTGTGGCGGGAGGCGCCGGGGGCCGCTAGATGGCAGCCGGGCAGCGCGGCGGCCCCGCTCCCGCCGGGGGAACCGTGCGGGGACCGGGGCGCAGCCAGCCCCTGCCCTCGCTCCTTGCCTCTCCCTGCCTGGCTGCCAGGCCCGCTGCGGGCTTGCACCGGGCCGCGGCCACGCTCCCCGGGTCTGGGCATCCCCTGGGGTGCAAAGGGCACCTTGCTCCTGCTCCGGAGCCCTGGCGGGGAGGATGGCAGTGGGCTGGGAGAGGTCGTGTCCCCCGGGGAAGTATCGCTCCCTCTGCCATCCCGGGGCAATAGGTGCCCGAGGCTGGTGGCCTGTGCCATGCTCAAACCTCACTGCCCTGGGGCAGTCTGGCAGCCTTGCCGAGTGAAGAGATGGGGGAACACAGCCCCCCCCCGAGGGCTGGACGTGCGTCTGAGAGGTGCTGGCGGGGCACAGCACACAGGGGCATGGCGCTGGCGGCGCAGGAGGGAGCTCAGGGCTGTGACAGTGCCGGGGTGGTGCCCAGCTCCTGCTAGGGCTGGCACACACAGGGCCTCATAGATCTCCCAGATTATGTGCACACGGGCGGGGTCAGGGCTAATTAATCTGCTGGGCCTTGGTCCTGCTTGCTCTCCACGGAGGAGCGGCTTGGCTTGGGGGAGATAAGAGTCAGTAGATCACTTTTAACCAGGTGCTTCTGGAAGGGTGGGCTGGGGGAGGCAGCTGGCTCAGAGCCTGGTGAGGGGTGATGAGAGGAGGGAGCGGGCACAGCTCGGCGCTGGCAGCGTGATATGGCTGCTTCACACAGGGTGGGAGAGACAGTGCCGGCTGATGAGAAGGAGCATTTGACCTCTCAAAGGGTAGAAGGAGATGGATTCAGGGTGCTGTTTTCCTTAGGGGTGTCTAGGTAGCTGGGAAAAGGGGCTGTGGCAGGAAAGAGTCTTGCCAGGAGGCAAAGGTGGCACTGTGGGGGATGTGGTGCGGTGGCAGGAGGCTTAAGGAGACCAAGCTTGTCCACCCTGCTGCAGGACCCAGCCCAAGGCCTTGCTGTGAGTGTTGCCTGGTCCCCAGCATTGTGGCAGGGTGATGCCAGGGGAGAGGGAACACCCCAATCTCAGAGGGGGCAATGTTGGGGATGGGGGTGTTGGCATCACCAGGCCCCTAAGTGACTTGGGCAGGTTTTCTCCCCCCTTCCAAGAAATGTCACAACCTTGATGTGCTCAGATTGGGGAGAGGGAGATAAATGCTGAGATGGCAGGAGGCTGGGATCGAGGATGCGCTCACACACAGTGCTTAATGGGAAAGGATGGGATTACAGGGGTCACGCTAGGTGAGCAGCTTCCTTCGCCGAGCTGATGGTATCAAAACAGGTGCCCCCGGCTGCAAATACCTTGGGCAAACAAACAGGGCTAAGAGCAGGTGAGCTTGGGCATGGCTGAGCTGGGGGGTGCTCAGGCGTGGTGGGGAGCAGGAGACTCTCTGTGCACAGGGAGTGAAACCTGGGGCTCCTGATGTGAGGACTGCCTTGTTTTGTGTAGGGTGGGGGGAAAAATTAAGTTGTTGTCTGCCTATGTACATACAGCTCCCCATGCTGGAGATGCATGTAATGGTGTGGAGCCCATTGCTTTTCCCTGGCGTGGTGGAGGAGCCAGTACCCAGGGAACCAGGTGATACCCCAAGCCAGCTGATGGCTCTGGGGTTGCTCTGGGAGGTGGTTGGCTCTGAGCATCTCTCATGTCTGCTGCATTTCAGGGCTCTGCATGCTGACAGCACTGGGGATGGATCCCTCCTGGCTCCTGCAGCACCAGGGAACCCTGACCCTGGTTGAGCCATGCAGCAGAGAAATGTGGCAGTATCACAGCTCAGTGTGGAGGTCACCATGCACGAGCACCATGGCCATGCACCCATGCTTTCACACTCTCCATAGCCCTCCCTGAACTGGTGTGCTGCACCCGGCAAGAGGCTCAGGCTACTCGCTGTGGAGCCTGGCCCAGCTGCAGCCCTGCTGGGTTGCAACTTGGCTGCCTGCCCCAAGCCAGGTCGCTGGCCCAGCCTGGCAGCTCCCAGAGGATGCTCTGGTTTCAAAGGTCAGGTCTGAGTTGCTTTTTCAGGGATGGAGCAGCAGGATGGGGAGTTGCTCTGCTGAGTGTGGCCAGGCAGTGGTTTTCCTTGTGATGCCCCAGCCAGGCCTGCCCCAACAATTTTCTTGCTGGGTTTCAACTCTCCACGGCTGAGAACTCGGCCCCAGGGTGGCCGAGAGGCGCAGCTGTAACCGTGCTGTAGGTGGGGCTGGTCCCCTGCTCCATGAGCTCTCTGTTGCTGGTTCCCACACTGAACTGGGGTAGTGCTGCTTTTCTCTGAAGCTTGGCTGCCTGGGTTACAGAGGAAGGTAGTGGGACACCCCTGGAGAGGCAGCATCCCCCGTTATCCCCGGATGCAGCGGCTCTGTGAGGTGGGTATGAGAGCTGTGGGGTGTAGTGGCACCTCGGTGGCAGCAGGAGCCAGGAAAAGGGCCAGCAGAGCCACCCCCAGCCAGGACCACCCTTGGTGGGTGTCATGAGTGACCCAATCTCTGCAACATTAGCTGACTGCTATCCCCATTCTGTCCTGTTGAGCAGTGGGCACAGGTACCTCAGCTATTGCCTCACAGAGCCACCCGTACCCTAACACACGGGGCTGGCCCTGGCAGAGCTGAGCTAGGGACATACTGCAACAAGAGATGAAGCAGCAGGATCTAGAAGGGTCAGGCTGCCCATAATTCCCAACCTCTTCCCACCAACACACCTTGCAGAGGGAAATGGCACTGGTGCACTGTGTGGGAACAGCTCTGTCTGCTGAAGAAGCTGAAATTTAGGTCTGGGGTCATCTCCTGCTCGCTGGTGCTTGGTCATGTGCTGGGTCCTCCCCAGTGTGCCTCGAGCTGGCTGGGAGCCTGAACATGTCGGGTTTTGCCCCACCAACTTCTCTGCAGGAGGAGAAGGGGCTCCTCTAGCTCTTGGCTCCACAACAGGTGCTGGAGGCTGATTTACCAGGGCTGCTCCAGGCTGCACATCCCGGCGCAGGAAGTTGCTTATGGCCAGGCTCTGCTCTGGGCGTTTGCAGACTTCAGTAGCTGCTCAGTGTGTCTGCTTGCAGTGGGGACATGTGTCCTCTGCTCCACAGTGCTGCCCAGAATACAAGAGGGGGCTGTTTCCATGAAGGTGCTGCTGCCACAGCTATGGCTTTATGGTCTGCAGTGGGGATGACACAGCAGAAGGTGCTGGAAGAGCATGGGGTGGCACTGGAGTAGGGGTTGTGCCATGAGTTGGGTTTAAATTCACAAACACATAAAGCAGGTGCTAAAAATGAACACGGTTGGGCTGTGGTAGAGAGCCCCATGCAAGACAGTCTGAGCCAGGCTCCATCACAGCCACCCCGTGCCATCCCCACCCACATCCCTCGTGCAGCCCACCTCGTGTCAGGGCGGTGTTAGCAGCTCTGTGTTCAACAGCCGCAGCCAAGATACCCAGAGGTCACAGGTGTCTTGGCCTTTGACCCCTCCAAGGCGTGAATCTAATCGTTCTGGGCTGGGCTGTCCCCGACACTGGCAGAAACATCACTGCTGGCCACATGTCCCTGCCAGGGCTGGTGGTAGCTGGGGGACGGGGTCTGCCCAGAGCAGCTCAGCTGTGCCCCAGGGGGATTGAGGATCTGCTGGAGGGATCCTCCCAGGGGACCACTGAAGGGAGCACAGGGACCTTGCAGTCCCCTGTCCCCAGCCTCACTGGTGGCAGAGCCCTAGGCTGGATAGGCAGGATTTGGCCTCCGTGGTGTCCTTACTGGTGATGGCTCTGCATAAGGACTGTGGGACACCCTATACTGCCTCTGTGACTCCAATCCCTGCTCCGACAATGGGCTCTCACAGGGGTGGAGAACCCTGAGTTGCAGTGCATGAGATTTTTG